CAACTACATTACAAAATATGCTTTTATTGAGCTCAGACAACGAGATGCACAACATGGTGAACATCATCAGCTTCAATCAATCTAAAATGTCTTCATGTCTGGATCTGAATTAATCCCACGTATCACAACTCTGACAGTGGAAACTGTTTTGTTTTTTTTACGTATTTGATGCTTTTTTTGTTTAAACACGACAACGACTGGACAGATGTAAAGACACAACTTTGTATTAAAGACTCAAAATCATTATGTGATCATTTAAAACGAGAACATTTTAGCCAGAAAACCTTCTTAAACTTTCAAGGATCCACAAAAGTTTTGTCGCTACATGACGTGTGGATCTGAGTTGTGGTGGTTTGTGTGTCTAAACTGAAGGCAGGTTTGCTTTCACGCTTACACACAGGATCACAGCTAACCAGGGTTTGTGCTTCATCGCAGAATGATTGAGAATTTTTAAAAAACTATTTTTTTTTTAACCAGATTTGTTAATTACAGTTTAATTTACTTGAGTGTAAGAGGCAGTTTTTGCTCATGACATTGTCAGAAATAACAGGACAACTTGTAGATTTCTGTCAAATAAAAGTAACACAGACTCACACAAACCCTGCTGGCACCTCTGCACTCTCTAATGATACACAACCGCTGTTTCTGACTGACGACAACAGCGACAGAGGTTTCAGTTTGTGTTTGCCTGGACTCACCTGTGTGAGCAGATCATCCGACAAACTGCTCACGTGTTCCCAGGAGCCTCGTTCATAAAGGTGCACCTTCGCTTCTACGGGAACCGCTAAAAGCTGACACACAGAGACGGGTTGTGTTGTTTTAGGCTCTGATGGGATAATAACGGGCAACATACTGTCTTCACACTGACGGAACACAAACAGACACCAGGTTGCTCCTCTGACCTTCGCTGTTCTCGGCTGCCAGGATAAGCGACACAGAGACTTGGCGTTGCTGACGTCGTTCGTCTTCTGCAGCAGAGGCCAACTGATCACCTGAGTCTGAGCCGTTGGAAACACAAAGATAATAAATACATGCGGCTGTTGTTGTGATATTTTCCACTGTGAAATGACAAAAAAAACACTAACCTGCTCCTCAATGTTCCACACGACAACCGAGCCGTCGCAGCTGGCAGACGCCTGGAAGACAAACCGGACAAAGACGTGACGAACAAAAACATTATCCTGGATTTAAAACAAGCAGGTTAACCAAGTCTGGTTAAATGTCTTCCACAGATTTACTCTAGCTCATCTAAATAGTGGACAAAACAAGCAGCTGTACTTTCTGAGAAGCGTGCTGTGCTCATTAATTCATTTAAGTCTTTTAGTGGATTTATGTCGCGCTGATTCACAGTAAGTGAGAACAGAGTGATTGCTTCTGTTTGAATACGTTTAAGTGCATCTTGTCTTGTCTGTTTCTGTTTCGAATTTACTTTCATGTGCTTCAGGATCACATGAAACACAAAAACATGAACAATTAGGAGAACGTCAACGCTAGCAGTTTAAAAGTGCACACTTTCTGTTTATGTGGTTTTGTTTTCATGTGCAGCAGGTTTCTTAAAAACAGGAATCGTTTGTTCTGTAAATCAGTTTCACACGTGTTTGAGCCACATATTTGAGTCACTTCACAGTCAATCATTTTTACTTTGCGTACATGTTTACTTTCGTTGTTTTGTCCCTCCACAGGTCAGCTATGTAACTGCACTGCTGGTTATCACGCAGAACACGTCGGTTTATTGTAGCGCTGCAGCCTCCAGGTCGACTGGTTGGTCGATACACGCTAATCTGACAAAATTCTCAGTGGTCAGACAACCGACGTTGTTACTTTCATAACCAGAAAAGCACCACTTTCAGGATGAATCAACTGTTTTTGGCAGCAGGAGGAACTGACTACAGTGTGTTTCTACATTTCTATAATTTCTTTTAGCAGACGCGTTTATCAAAAGCGACGCACATCTGAGATCAGATACAAGACAAGTAAGGATCTAGTCAGGAGAAAACAATCTGGATAAGCTCCATAGAACAAGTGTGATCGGGCGCTGATGCCAATAGCAGGCTGTAGGGAGGTCATAGGACTTTTATTTGTTGTTTTCTTTATTTTCAGTCTGTCAAGTTCAAAGGTGCTCAGTGAAGAGCTGGTCTTTACTCTTTTCTTAAAGACTGAGAGGGAGTCAGCAGATCAAACAGAGTTTGGTAACTCGTTCCCCCATCGTGGAACCACAGAGGAGAAGAGTCCAGCTATCGACCTCAGGCCTGTTGTGGTGGTTGGATCAGGTGGTTTTTGTTGGTCAAGCAGGTTTTTTAGGTAGTTTTGGTAGGAGGGAGCTGGTTACAACTCTAAACTCCCCCAACCTGATGGAGTCTGCAAGATCTAACTTGTTTAAGGGACGTTTACTCACAGTCAGCTCCAAACTAACTGACATCATGTCAAAGAAGTCGTGTGTGTGGCTGCAGTTTGTCCAAAACAGTGTTCAAAAGTGTAAGCTTTGTGTATCGCAGCTCAACAAGCAACATCTTTTCCATGTTTTTTTTATAATGTATTTCTGTTACTACTTTGATTATTCTTGTTGTGTTTTTGTTGTTGTTTGTTCTAGTTTTACTTCAGACTGTAACGCTTGTTTTTGGTATTTCACTGTCTGGACCCCAGGAAGACGAGCTGACGTCTTGGCGTCAGCTAACGGGGATCCTTTTAAATTAACAAATGAACAAATGTCAGATGAACTAAAAACAGCAACTACTTTGTCTGTTTCATTCCTTCATAGTTCTCGTGCTGGAATCACCAGCTGATGTTGTTCTACTTTTAGAAATCATGTGAATATGAGCAGCTGGTCTGCTGAGTCTGTTGTAACCATTTCAGTATAATAATAATCAGGTTACTTAATGTACCAGCTTTTTATGTACATTTATAATCACTGAGGCTCATCAGGCTGCAGGTAGAAGGTCGTCACAACACTGCGGACAGTTGACTTCATCTTCAGATAACGTGCAGATTAGTTTTTCTCTCTGCGACCAATCAATCGCTGAAAGAGGATTTTATTTGACCAACAGCCCTATTTTACTGTAAATAAGTCATCAGTCTGTCAGCGTCAAATTATGATCCTCAAGCTTCTCCCAGCTGTAGATCCTTAGATGGAAGTGAACAAAGTTATGGAACAGAAGAAGGATGAGCCATTTGAGTTTTGTGTTTCATGAGCAATTTAAAACTTTAGTTGTTGGACACGAGATCTGATCTTCAGCCCAGCGTTGCATTTCTGCCACCAGAGGGAAGTTTTACCTACCAAGAAGTCGTCTTTGGGGTCAAAGGCGACACTGAGAACCGGGGCTTCGTGACCTCGCAGCGTTTTCTGCTGGCTGCTGTCCGACACCTCCACCACCTTCACCATGAAGTCGCTGAGGAACACGGAGGGATTCAGATTAAACATGAGCAAACTGACACGTGCAGAAAACTTGAGGTCACACGTGACGAGAGAATCGAGGGAAAGGACGCGTCAGCTGCAAACCAACACGAGTGCAAATCATCAAATCAATGAGCAAAAGCAGCACGATGATTTCCTCCAACGTCCACCTGGCTGCAGATACCAAATCTGCACTAACAGCTACAGATGTCCGAATGCTAACAATCGATGCCACGACAGAAACGAGCTGCGAGAAAACAGAAGCATCAATGAGGCGCCATGCTCTGGGCTTTGATTGCCGTCATAAACCTGTTTAGAGCAAATCAATTCTGGCAGCAAACAGACGTTTATCTCCAATCAGGGCTAATCATAAACCGATGCTCCGTCTGCCAGGTGGAAATATCTGCTCTGGAACAACAACGCTGAAGCTAATGGGATCAGAGGCTGCTTCAGTCATAGGATGCACCGAATGTTACGCACGACAGCCTCAGCAGCCACAGGAGAAAACCCGCCTGGTTTGACTAAATAAAAGTGACGTTCACTCGTCTCTGGAAGCACGTCAGCGAGAAACTACATCTCAGGAGCAACAGATGAATCTGTGCATTCAGCTGGACGTCCTGGTTTATCCTTTAAATTCCTTCAAGGATGATGTGACTTCTGTCCAGGAATCTGCTTTTTTAATTCTTTTTTTTTTTTTAAACCATTGCACAGACAGACAGCAAAGTTCTATTTCCTTCCAATTAAAGAATACAAATGCGGTGGACTGTTTTCCATTTTTGGGTCGAAATTACACTTTTTACTCCCCATAAGAAGTCACATCCCAGCTACACTCTGTCTTTAATTTCTTACATTATGCTTTTTCCTCTATCTCTATTCTTTTAGTGATTCCCTTAATGCCTTTTCTTTATGTTTTGTAGTTTATTTTCTAACATCTTTCATTTTAAAATTGCCAAATAAATACATTTATTTCGACATTTTAAAACCGCTCCCAGAAAGTTCATCTACTGATAAAGTTCTTCAGCGTCTACAAAAAATAAAAATTAACAGTTTCAGTAAATTATCCTTCTTTTTAATTTAGATGATAAAACTGATATATGAAAATGTCTGAATCCTAAATGTGAAACTGTACTCAATTATTATAACTACTCAATTTTTTTTTTTGTCAATTAATCTGGCAGTTATTTTTTGATTAATCAATTCATTGTTCGGTTTATAAAATGTCAGAAAAATGTGAAAAATGTCCACCAGTGTTTCCTAAAGCCCAACATGATCTCCTCAGATGTCTTGTTTTTCTTCCACAGCCCAAAGATATTCAGTTTACTGCCATAGAGGAGGAAAGAGACCAGAAAATATCTTAATTTGATAAGTTGGAATCAAAGAATTGAGACTTTGTTCCTTTTAAAATTACTCAAACATTCATTCAATAGTTGACAACTAGTAGATTAGTTTTGCAGCACTACCTAGCTTAGCATAAAGATTGTAAACAGGAGAAAGTCATGTAGCCGGCTATGTCCAAGGGTTTAAAAAACAAAAAGAATATATTGACATCAGGAAGTCAGCAGAGTTAAACAGCTACAGAACATAACTACACATAAAACCACAAATTTAACTGAATAACGATTTTCACACCTTCAAACAGAGCCAGCCTGGCATTTTTTCCCCCTTCTGCTTCTATTTATGTTATTTAACACAAAACGTTGGAGTACCTGGACCCGGCAGCGACTCTGGAGCCGCTGCTGTTGAAGGTGACATGTGTGGCGTTGGTGGTGAACCGGGTCAGGATGCCGTCCGGATCCCCGTCAGGAAACGTGTGCATCTGAACCGTGTTGTTGGAACTCGCCGTCACCAGCTTGCCGTTCTATGGAGGAGAGAACGTCTGATTGAGTCGACTCATTAGAAAACGTCTCAGTGCAGATTAACCAAACGTCATGAGTCCGTCCCAGTTCACTAAATAAGTTGAACCAACCCTGAGCGCCAGTGAATAGGCCTTCTCCCCGACAGTGATGAACTTTGGATCGTCATCGTCCAGACTTTCCCAGATCCGAACGTCTCCGTCGTTGCCACAAGTAACAATGAACCTGAGGAAAAGTTCATCAGGGTCAGATATGAGGAATATTGTGATGCAGAAGGAAAAGCAGGAAGTGTTTTATCACTCAGTTGTTTTTAAGCTGCTCAGTTCATCAGGACGGGGAGTCACGTCAACTCAGAGTGACACAGTTTCGACATAAACAAATTTTTCCACCAGATTTCATGTGAAGCTTTGACAAGATTCACTCAATACCCCAACTAATATTTTCATCACTGATTAATGGACCTGTTGTTTTTACAGATAACCGTTTTGTGAATGAAATTTCAAAAAAATAAAATAAAAATGGCAAATTGAAGACATCACAGTCCAGGTTTATTGTCAGATGTGACACAAAAACACACACAATCATCACGTTTGAGAAGCTGAAACCATCAAAGGTTTGATGTTTTTTATGTGTTTTCTACTCACTGAATAATCACTGCCTTGTCAATGACTTTCTACAAAGAAACCACCATTTTCCACATTCACATGCACAATATCAAGTATTTATTTATATTTGTTTGTTTTAAAATGAACATTTCTGCACTGTCCCCTTTAGGGCTGCAACACTGCAAACTTCCACACAGCAGGAACTGATCTTATCTCTGTAATAATAATAACAATAATAACAACAACAACAACAACAACAATAATAATAGGTATTCTTTTGTTTTGTACAGCATAATTACAAATAAGAAGGGCAGAATATTATCAACATACTGTAGTATAATACATCCAAGTCCAGACCATATACTTTAATTAATAAGCGCCAGAAACAATATATTATATTACAACACTACAATTTCCCTAACTTTGAGTTATACCTGTTGTATTTATTTTATTTACATTGCAACTGTGGGAAAAAATTTGTTTGTGGAGTGTCTGTTAGAGGTTTATACATGTAAAAATAATAATGAGGATCATTTATTTATAATCATGTTGCAATACTATGAATCAACACATGACCCCAGGCTCATTCAAAGATTATATCCAGAACATCAGCATCTATGAGTAAACACTGATGATCATAAGTCAAGTACAATAATACTGTAAAATAATATTTTAAAAACACTAGAATTACTGTCTGACATACAGAAAGTACCCAAAGAAAACTTCCACTGACGCTCAGATATAATTTCTTTCGACATCAGCCCTGACAGACGGTGAAAAACAGGATTTAAAGCCTTTTTTATTTCTGTGACTTACTTCCCAGAGTCGTCGAAGCAGACCTCGGTGTGTCCCTCGGAGTGCCCGTAGCGCATCGGCTTCCTCTCACAAGGCATCTTAACAAACACTGAACACACAAACAAAGGCAACAATCAACATGTGAAGCGACATCTGTGACACTTGTGTACAGCTCCGGTCTCCTCTGTTCTGCCGTTTTGACCCTCTGCAGGACCAGATAATTGGGACCAGCTAGCTGCAGAGTTTAGCTAACGACTGTCACCTGTAGCCGCAGCGCTGTTTCAAACTGCCCGGTTCGACAGATAAACTGTGTTTACGGCAGCAGAACTTCGATTCAGATTAACAGAACAATTTATCCGACTAGTCATGACTTTAAAATATGGCAACTAATTAGAGAACTTACAGCGTCTCCGGTGACTCCGCAGCTCCTCTTCTCCTGAATCTCCCGCGCTGCGTTGAAAACAAGGAAACGCTACGTCACAACTCCCGCCAGCTACGTCATGACGCAGCCGGAAGCTCCGCCCACGTTTTGAGGTGCGCTTTTATTTTATTTTACTTTAATTTTAAAGTAGTTTAATGAAATTGTAACAGTATTTTTAAAAAAGTAACAAACAATAACACAAACAAAAAATAGTACTAATATAGAGAGAGCTGCATAAACAAGCTTAAATTCATTCTTCAATCTGTTGATGTAGTACTTAAATAATATCTATTTTCTTTAATCAGAAAATATACGTTTTTTTCTCTTTATAAGCGCTCCAGCTTTAATCAACATAATTTATGTTTTGTGTCTTCACCAATGGATTTGTTGCTTTGTGCAACTGTAATGATGAACTCATGTGTTTAGTCTCCTTTGCCCATGTCCTGAGTTTTGTCGTTGTTGGACTTCAGTGTTCAGGTAAAGTCAGCCTAATCTTTTGTTTAGTTAGCTTGTCAATTACTCCTCCCCAGTTCACATCCCTGGTTAGTTTGGTTTTGGTTTTTTGTATGTAGTTTTCACATTGAATTTCACCAATTGCAATGTCAGTACTGGCATTTGTGGTGGCCAGCTAATGCCAAATTTAACTATATTTACATTTATATAGTCTTTTGCTGACACATTTGACGCTGGCTAAGATGGTTAAAAAAGTCGCTAGCTGCTGTTGTGACATATCGCTCTTGCGCTAGCGGCTGTTGCTAGCTGCTGTTGCTAGCTGCTGTTGCTAGCTGCTAGCAAAGCTAGCTTATGATTTTATTGTGGTTCTGAGATGTTGAGTTTTTGGAGAGTTTGCAATTTCATTTATATTTTTTCAGGCTATGGCATCTTTTGTGATTCCTGGAAAATTTCCAAACCTTTTTTTTTGTTTTTAATGTGACTTTACAGTTTATGAAGGGCTCCAGAGAGCAACCATGTTGGTCAGATAACAAACCTGAGGAGTTAATCTCCATCGCTAACTTGCACTAGTTTCTGCCTCCATGTCTGTCAAGTACCACCACAGTTATATCCTCAGCTTTTAAGAAACACTGAGATATGACAACAAGGCCAATGTATTATTAAAAAAGACAATCTGCAGAGTCTCATGCATGTCATTCTGTAGTGGTTTTTGAAAAATGACAAATAAACTCCACGAATATTACAAAATACACCCGATGATGTCTCTACAAACTCCGTCCACCAGGACCACGTGGAGAGACAGACGCAGAACGAGTATAGGATTCGAACCCAGGACCTTGTAGCTGTGAGGCGACGGTGCTAACCGCTGCATGTCACCACAGGTACTTGGATTTATATTTTTTGATCAGTTTTTGGCAGGATGAACATTTTCTAATGACTCTTAATAACTCGTTGTGTCTCCATGCACTTTTTCTCACTGCAGTAGAAACCTAAAGGAAACAAAAGTGACTGATCAAATCCTCGCATTGAAACAAATATTCACTCAGCGCTTTATATTTGTTTAGTCATTTAAGTAGCTATTACCCATTTTCCTCAGGCTACCATTGGCTGATCATCCACTCGCCTGTTTGAGCAGCATCTCAGGGGAGAATTTGATTAGTGCAGCAGGAAGCACTCTGTTGGCAGACAGCATGGTGTCTAAATATTATATCACTCAACTCGAATAGTGCACAAAAGTCAGCGTGTAAACATGTGAAACAGGCCTGAAGTCTGTGTTATAACCTCCATGTGTGCATGAAGGAAGCAAAAAAAAACAAGTCTAATTTCTCAGGTTAGATATCAAATGTTGCATGAATCTAATGTAACACTGACTATTGGCTTTGAGCTGCTGAAAAATGATGTTCTCCAACCAGATCATACAAGATGACGTTAATGTTTCACGTATGTGGTTCAGGAAAATCAATAACCGTGGCTCCAGAATCTGCTCATTGACTGAGCGCAGACATGTCGGCAGTCAGAGGATCAAACACAAAGAAAGATGCTGCGTGACAAATAGATGGAAATTAAGCAGTTTCACAGAGTTGTCTGGTTTTTGTAATGGTTGAAATAGAAGCTGCACAGACTGAAATAATCCACAAAGGTTAAGATATTCAGAGTCCTACATTTGCCATTAGGATCGGACGTTACAACATCAACTTTGATCATTTACGGTAAACAAAATCTAATTTTAAGACTTAAAAAATAATCCGACGGTTGGAGCTTTTATCTTTCTGTCGGCAAAAAACAATTCAAACATTTGGCACAGATGGATAAATTAACGTCCATGTGTAGATGAACATTGAAATTGTTTATTAATCTTCTATGGCAAACAATTTGGTGAATGACTACTATGAATTATAGGCCAGAAAAAAACTTACAAAATGATCTATTTTCAGATTATTTGTCACGTGATAAGTTGGTAAAAATGTAAAGGCCACGGCCTCAGACACCAGCCTGATGAAGACCATGTAGCAGAAAACAGTTGGTGCATCAGACATCGTTTACTGGGGATGAGATGCAAAACATTCTTTTAAAAGATTATTTGTGAGGCAATTTTATGTCTTCTTTTGACACTGACACAGAAAACAGGGGGAAGGATGTGCAGAACTGAATCAGTGAGTGATCCACAGCAACTTGGTTATCAGATCACATTTGCGCACCGAGTTTTGATATGTTTTGGTTTATGGAACAGTCCTGGTTTAAAAGAAACTAGGTTGACCAAGCAGTGGTTGGTATTGTTGGCTCACAGCTAGAAGGTCGCCGGTTTGCGTCCCGGTGAGGATCTTTCTGCATGGAGTTTGCATGTTCTCCCCGTGCAGTGTGGGTTCTCTCCAGGTTCTCCGGCTTCCTCCCACACTGTCCAGAAACATGTTGAGGTTAATTGGTGATTCTAAATTGTCCGTAGGTGTGAATGTGAGTGTGCTTGGTTGTCTGTCTCTAAGTGTAGCCCTGTGATAGACTGGTTACCTGTCCAGGTGAACCTGCCTTCACCCTGAGTCAGCTGGAATAGGCTCCATCCCCCCATGACCCTAGTGAGGATTAAGTGGTGTACAGATAATGGATGGATGGAAGGTTGACCACTCGTGCGAGTCTGCTTGTTACCACCCATCCATCCACCCCGACCTCCTCCCTGCAATTTTGTTGCTCTGTGGCTTCGTCCCTGTAAATCTTTACTTCCATCATATTCACTACAAGGCAACTAGAGGGCGCCGTCACTTTAATAAACATATTCATGTGCTAAAACTACTGATTCTATTTCATAACACTTCGGATAGTGTCGAGGAGCAGACTTTGTGTCTCTGCAGACCAAACCAGCTCCATTTCCTGATACCCAAACTGAGATGGCATGAATGAAGTACAAAACTAAAGAACAAGAAGGCAAAAATTGTAAAATACAATCTGACAACAACAGAGCTGCAAATTTAGTTCTGTGTTTTTAACACTAAAGACAGAAACTTTCTGTCTGGAGACCAAATGGTTGTATGCTGTGTTTTTATTTCTTTTTTAAACACTGCTTGTAGTCGAGAGGCTGAATGACACACGGATCAAATGACAAATCAGAACTCCTCTCCAGTTACGGGGGAGAAACGCTCTTTTTCATGTCCTTATCTCTCCATTTGCTCGGCCGAAGCGTTGGCATTTAGAGGTGTCCTTTCGCAGAGAGCGGGATGAATTGTTTTCAGAGCGATACTTCAAAAGCAGCATTTTCCATACCATTAGCCCGTCTAAGTGTGACACGGCAGCAACAGGCGTGGATAAACACGACTCGTGCTGCACCATTAACACGGTCCAAAGACGACAGAACATCTGAGAGACTACAGAGGCAGTGTAAATGGCATTTATTGGTATGTGGTGAATACAATGTGTGGCTGGAGGGGAGTATCGCTGTGGTTCAAACAGAGGATAAGTTGGTGCTATAGTGTACCGTCGTCCACGCCAACGTGTAAACAGGTTCTCAATAGGCACAAATTATGCTGCAATACTGATTTACAGAGGAGTTCTCAGTGATGAAGAAGCGTTTAAGTGATTTTAAAAACGGACAAGTGGAGCAGATGGAGTCTTTGGTGCGGTTGTGCCGCCATCTAGTGGCCGCAGAGGAGAATGCAGTCCAGTGTTTTTGGTTGAGTTTCCTTTTCTGTCCCTCTTTTTGCCCATCGTCATCATTTTCCAACAGAGTTTTTGAGCCCATTTTGTGCAGAAGATAAACATTCAAACTTAAAAACAGTCTTCTTGTCATCTGCATCTTTTGCCTGATTTAGCTTTTTGGTGTTGAAGTCAGTGTGTGTGCATGACTCAGAATCTTAGTCAACACACTTCAGTCTTTGGAGAGGGATGTGGGTTTGAGTTTTGTCAACTGGTTTAACGACAAGAGTGTTCAGACATATGCAGCTATGTGGTGGCGTATCAAAAGGACTATGACGAGGTTAAAGCGTTTGTTTGCTTGGGAAGCTACTGACACAATAACCCTCTGAACCCCAGGAAGTTCTGAGTGTTTTAAGGCCTCCTGTCACTGTGCACTCATTTTTCACTCCAGTATAAAGTCCTGCACCTCTTATGGAAACGGCACAACCATAACTAGAACTCATATGTCTTTTGGTGGTCTGGTTTCAATGCCACAGCTAATAATAAAAATAAAAATGAATGTCAGATTTCGTATTTTACGAAAACAAAACTGGAATCCTCACGTACAACATTTCCCCAAGTCGTACTCAGAGGTATAACCAACACCGGAAAAGGTCAAAACGTACTACAGACATTTTATTACTTCCATTTTTATTTGTTTCCATACATATCTGGACTGTGTAACCACAGCCAAAAAAATAAAAAATCCCTGAATTTGTGTCACATGACTGTTCGTCACAACTCAGCCACTCATGATTCATGGTTGTGATTTTATTTTATTTTTTAAATTTTTGCAGAATCTGGTTCAGGGGAATGATTTAATTTTGGCAAATTATCAACAGAGACATGTTTAATGGGGTTAGGGTTAGGGTTAGACAGGGTTGGGGTAGGTGATTTTGATGAAATGTCAGTTTTAGATTTGGTCATTTTTACTGATCTTACTCATGATGTGTTGTAAAGTTGAAAATCCAACAGTTGTTATGCTGTTTCTGGTTGTGATAAATGACTATAATAATAATAAATACATAATACATGTTTACCCTGCCACCAGGTTTTGGGGTTCAGAGGGTTCATAATTTTTGCATATTACTCGACACAGTGACCTCTAACCTTTGGACAGCACTGGTTGTGGCAGGACGAGACCAAACCATCCTATATTTGTGATGATAACATGACGGGAGGTTTGCTCAGTCAGGTCCCATGGAAGGTGCAGCGCTCGCAACATAAGTGTGATTTTAACTGAAGTCGAGATGAAAGTTTAATGTCTCGGTGAACTTTAAGAATCCTTCTTTCCTTAAGGCGACTGTTGTGGAGCGTATTTATTGTAGGTGTCTGAGTGTATCACAGTCAGCTCTGCGAGTTCGTTTCTTGTCCCACGAGCTTGTCAGAGAACTTAAATCCATCTCTTGGTGCTTGTGGATCACAATGGAAACACGACGCCCATCAGTTCCTTCAGTGTCTGAACTTGATTCTTTCTGATTGTCTCTTGATGCATCAGAATCAACGAACCTCTCCAGCTCTGCATCCTTAAACAGCCATTTGGAGTTTAATGGCAGCGTTCAGTCCACTTTCCCAAGAGAAGCTGCCTCTGCTTGTCCTGTCTGTGCCCTCCATTAGCGAGTTCTGGACCGTCACACAGCGCAGGCCCCGTCACACTTGATGTGATACTGTCTGAGATATTCCCTGAGCTGAGGAGGCAGCGGCAGGTCGTCTACGCCCCGGTAGGTGGTGCAGCTGCAGATCAGCGCCCTGCACAGGTGCTGCAGGGAGAACGGGAAGGTCCTGGGTAGCGGCCTGGACAGCAGAGGTTCGAAGAAGAGGCAGGTGGCCGGGTCGCTGTAGTGCCTCAGCAGCCCCGTCACACTGGGGTCCCGGTACATGCACGGGTCCCTCACGTCGAAGCTGAAACGCTTCCCGTTCTGCTCGATCCGTGCGTGCAGGGAGCGGCTGTAGCGACGGAAGCTGACCGAGAAGAGGAACTCGTCCTGGGCAGAGTCTCGGAGCAGGAAGGTTCCCTCCGGCTGGCCCTCCAGCAGCTCCTCGGCCTCGAATCGGTTCAGCACCCCCCAGTAGCAGGGGCTGTTGTTGATCTGCAGCAGGTCCGGGACCAGGATGTAGTCCGTGTGGCCACAGCTGCCTCCTGCTCCCCCATGAGGGCAGGAAGGGTTCCAGTCCTCCAGACTGGTGCTTCCAGGCCCAGGGGAGCAGCAGATGTCCTCCCAGGAGAGAGGCGTCTGTGGCGGGGAGGTAGTCGAGGAGACGCTGGCTTTCAGGGGAGCCTCCATGTCTTTGAGGGCACTTGGGTGGGAGGCGTGATTCTTTATAAGGTGCCAACATCGGGCCAGTTCAGACTTGGGTGAGAACGGACAGTTGTCCTGCATGAGCTCTGAGACGTGGATCTTACGTTTGGACCAGAAGAGCACCGAGAAGGGCCTTGAGGAGCCCGGCGGGTGGTGGTGGTGGTGGTGATGGGAGCGCAGAGGGAAACACTGGCCCACGGCGTCCTGGAACTTCTGCCTCAGAGACCGTCTGGACAAGGCCTTCCTGCAGACCACGTCGATGTCTCCGGACGTCAGAGCGTCTCCGAGGGCGCTGCAGCTACACTTCCGCTCCCTGCGCCGCCTCGGACAGGAAGTCGACCGAACGCCCAGCTCCTCTGTCCCGTCCGCCTCCGTCCCGCCGGGACTGGAGCCGTTGCGGGAGCTCCGGGAGCGTTTCTTCCCCCTCCAGACGTAGCTGTCGGCGCTCCAGCTGCGGAGGCCACATTTGGGACGAGTGTCGGAGCCTCGTGGCTTCTTCTCGGACATTTCTGCTTCGTCTTCTGGCTCTGTGACACATTCAAAGACACGCCAAACATTTTGATAATCGGTAAACAGAAAATAGTCCAAAAAGTCTGCAAGATAAATAATTGTGCCAGAAAAAATATGTGGAAAATGCTGGAGAACTGTAAAGACAATGAAAGTCATGGCAAATGTGTCATTTTACAGTCACATTGTAAAATATCTATAAAAGTACAGCTTTGGCCTGTTTTCTTTTCAAAAATGAAATTAACACTTTGTGTGATTTTTGTTAGAAATCATTTAAATGAATTTAAATGAAAATCTATAAAATAACAGTTAAAAATGATTCATCATGATACCTTTTTAATATACTAACATTTATTTCAATGATTGCGAACATTTCATAAATAATTTTTATTCGTCAACTAGTAAATAATCACCAGCCATTCTGATCGATCACCTGGAGGGAAGAGTTTTAAAATTCTGCAAAAAAAAAAAAAATCAACAACAACAACAACAACAACAAAAAAACAGCAAAAATCTGCCAGACAAATTTTTAAAATGGTGTAATACTGTAATTTTCAAAAGCTCCAAAAACCATAAAAATAATTTTAAATATCTGTAAAATAATTACATTTTTTTTCAGTCAACTTTTTAATGTGGACATTATTTACAGTTTTGGCCTGTTTTAGAATCAATACTTTTCTTTTTTTTTTTTTTTAAAAAAAATGTGATTTCACTCGATAACATCTGTAATTTAACAAACTGTGAAAACTTATCAAATAGATTCTCTTTACCATGTAAGTCCTTGATGTACATAATTTTTCTTTCAATGACAAAACATTGATTTTTAGTTGACAACTATTAATTAATCGACAATCATGAAACGGAAAAACCCACAAAAAAAAAGTCTGGAAACAAGTGCCAAAAAACACTGTAAACTGTAAAAACGGTGAATATTTGTAAAATAATATTTCTAGTTTAATTTATCAAACACCATGAACAGTTAATACATGTTTAACTGTAAAATCTATAAAATAACAGTTAAAAAACATTTGCCATTTGAGTCTTTTATATACATAATTTTTCAAATCTGCTATGAATTGATTGTCAAAAGGGATGAAAAAGTCTAAATTCTCTCATTTCAGTTTGCTGAATTTAAATTCTTAGTTTTTTCTCCTCTATGACAGTAAGCTGAATATCTTTGTGTTGTGGACAAAACAAGACATTTTTAGAACATAATCTTTGCATTTAAGAAACACTGACCAACATTTGTCACTATTTTCTGACCTGATATAAACCAAACAGTTAAAAATAATCAAAAGCTTTTTCAACAGTGGATATAATTGTTAGTTTCAGCTCATGCCTTCTTATCCATGACACAATATGAACGTAAGGATTTAAAATTTGGTATCAACGAGGTAATTCCAGTGGAGTTGCACATTAAGACACAAGAGAAACACGTGTAAACACAAATTAATGACACTTTAAGCACCAGAAAATATTAAATATCACAGAAAAATCCATTTTAGGACGTGAGAACATGTTAGTTTCCCTTAAAGCACCCTGTGAAGAGTGTTAAAACTCATCAGAGCCACACAGGGTTAAAAATCTATTCATCAAATTCACTTTTCACGCCCTTAAAGAACTTTTTTTTTGTTGTTTTTTTTTAATGCGTGCACACAAAGCTGCTGTCTCATCATTTCCTACTGAACTGTTAGGCTGACGTGGAGTCCCACTGATTTACTGATCATCTCCAGAGGCAGCAAATCCAATTAAGACTTTAGGAAGAGAAACAAAGAACAGATCAGTTCCTATAGAACCACAGAAATTGGTTTAACATCTACTTAGTCAGGCCACTTTTTTTTGTGTGTTTCATTCAGAGAAAGCAGCTTTTTTTTTTTAAACACTTAAATTGCAGCCTGACGTTTCTAAGTGGAAGCACAGTTGGTCACTCATAATGCAAAAAATAAGAATCTAATCTGCAGGAGCAGCCTGTGAGCAGCAGGAGGTTCAACAGCACAACGCTCTGTGCTGTTATTAACTGTTTGAAGATTAATGCAGATTATCTTACCTTCCAAACGGTGTCAGAAACAGACCTCCATGTCCGTGTGTGAGCAGCCTGCAGCCTTCCTCTGCTCTGACAGACGGACGGCAGACTCTCCTGCTTCCTATATAATTATGATGCCACGTTCCCGGGAGAGGAGGGGGGGTACTTCCTCTCTGCCAGGCCGGTCTGAATGAACGGGGGGAGGTGGAGGTCGGAGGGCGGTCTCAGGTTAATGGCAGCGAGACTTCCTCCTCCTCCTCCTCCTCCTCCTCCTCACATCCCCTTTACACGTTCATTGACGGATTCCACGTCCCAAAAAAAAAAAAGAAAAAGATGACATCCAGAGCAGCAGCAGAGTGTTTTTGTTCATGCACAAAGTGGATTATTTCGGCTTGTAATTCAATCTCTGCATGAAGATTTGAGTCCTTTTAACTTCACCAGGCTCAACTTAAAACATCACAGTGGAGCTCTGAAGCTGTTTAAGTCGGTCTGAACGACAAACCGTGGACTTGTGAACCGTTCCACCCAGCAGAGGAAACAACATTTTAAGAAGCTTCACGTATTGATTGAATAACCTTTTGAGTTTCTCAGTTAAAACTTCCAGCAAGTGCTGCTGAATGGACTCATCTGTCAGGATGATGTCATGCTCACGCCGCCGCGGGCTGCACCTCGCTCTGGATGACATTTTGGAGGATCTATAATTCATGAAACAAATAGACTGCATCTATCAGACAAATAATATTACTCCCAGCGGTTGAGTTTGCGTGCTGGTGTCTGGGTGTGCTGCTCGGTGCCCTTTCAGCTCCAACAGATAAAGGAAAGTCATCAATAAATGCCTGACATCTCAGATAATGTAGTGACACTCAGCTTCCTCTTAGCTGAATATTTAATGCTCTTCACATTATCACAGCAGGATGATAACGCCACATGTTCTGGCAAACAACCAGATCAATTTATCTGACCTCAGCTCAGAAGTAGCAGCAACTCCAGAAGTTTGACTGAAAGGATTCGACCGTGAACAAGTAATTATGTCAGATGGGTCATACTGTCAAGAACAAATCTGCAAAACAATGAAGAAATGACATTTTTGGTGTAATCTTCATCAAATGTTTTGATACAATTTTTCATCATTAGAATTAAAAGTTTTTATGTGATTACTTGATATTATCTGTAATTTATCAGTGGAAATCCATAAAATGACAGTTTAATTATTTAGAATACGTGTTTGTTCTTTCAGTGACTGAAAAAAGTCCAAAAATTCTTCAAAAAAACTAACAAAAGACTGAAAACTTGGCAGCAAGGATGCCAGAACAAATGGTAGAATACTGTAGCACTAAAAGAAAAACTGTGAAAACAATGAAAATAACAGCAAATATCTGTAGAATATTTTTTTAGTCGATTCAAATACAGTAAATCTGTATAATTTTACAGTCACACGTTGCTTAAAAAGGAGTATTTCCAAAGCTACAGCTTTTTTTTTTAATGTGACATTAAAGCCAGTATTAAAATAAACACTTTTTAAAATGTGATGATACTGGATATTATTGGTAGTTTAACAAAACAGGAAATCTATAAATACATCAAAGTTAAAACATTTTTTTTACCATTTGCTAGCCCTGAAATCTACTTTGTTTTTCTTTCAAATTTCAGTGAAGATATTTTTGATAATTTAAATGTGATAAAATAAAAGTAATTTTAAAATCACACATTGTAAAATAAATGAACATTTATAGAAATACAGATTTTTGATGGAGGACATTATTCATTTATTTATTTATTTTTTAAATCATTAACATGTAAAATAATCCTTTTTTTAAATCTGTGTTTTTTTTTCTCTCTAATTATCTGTAATTTAACTTTACAGAACATTTTTTACACTTCCTAACTTCCTCACCGTTTCAAAGTTTTCCTGAAAGGTCCAGGTGAAGGAACGCTGCTCGTCCTTTCCATCTTTAAATGAGACGTCTGGCCGACACTTTCCACTGCGAGGCCTCGACTCTGAAATACTTCTTCAGATGGTTCATTCCAGCCTAAACCTGTTGTTGAGATGTTCCAGCCCAGATGAAGGAGGTGAACTGATCGACCGATGCTCCACTGACACAGCCTTCAGTCTGGCTGATAGAACATGGAGACAGTATTTTGATTTACAGTTTGTCCAAGATAGCTGGCTTTATTTTGTAATCTGATTACATACTACTACTACTACTACTGAGGGCTGCTGTTGCTAGGCAACGCTTACATCCTGTCATTCACAGATTCTCAGAAACTCACCGTTTCCCGTCTCTCCATGAAACATTCAGGCTCTGAATGTTGAATGGCAGCTCAAATTGATTCAGCAGAATAATGGACGGACGAAAAACAGACAAATGCGCGATGCCAGGAGACGTGGAGGCTTTTTATTTACTAGATGAAGAAAGGAAGCGAAACCATTCGAGCACAAATCCGTGTGTTTTTCCTCGTACAGTCTTCTTTTCTGGGCTAATTTAATGGAAGCTGCTACCTTTACCAAGTCAAAGTTTTATAATTTAACTTCATAAAAAGGATTTAACTGGGGGGTGTTGTCATTTTTGGACCGTTGCACTTTAACCAACTGATTCTTAATCCCCACAGTAGTTCCGTACTCTGTGTAGAAAAAGGAAATATAGTGATTGGAATTAATAATACAGGAACAAAAATAATCAATACATTTTATAAAATCGTTAAATATTTCATGCAAACCTGCTAAAACGTTTTTTACCACAAAATATTTAAATTAACCTGTTGAAAATTTTACTTTGTCTCCCTCTTTAAAAAAAATTCTGAATCCATGCAGCTATTTTTAATTTTTACAAGTTTCACTGTCACATAAGTTGTCTGTGACGACTTTAAACCTGTTCATTATTTATTAACCTTTATTCACAACTGCTGTACTGCAGGTCTGTCGTCACTAACAGAGTCACAGCTTCAGTCTCCTTCACATCTGTGCAGACAAACTTTG